TTGATTGATTTTAGATTTGCTTTTGCTTTTTCTGTGTGTGCTTTGACCATCCAGTGAGTAGCAGAGTGACCTTTGCCAAGGAACCTGATCATGCTTTCGCTTTTGTTTTAAACCTGCTTTTGATGATGCATCTGCCAGTGGTTCTGTAAGTGACCTCAAAACCCTCATTCATCACAAAATGTTAAGTTGTGACACATGAACCATTAAACCACTTGTGGCAATACCAGCAGTTCATGGCTGGGAATCCATGACCACGTGCTGGTAAATTGAAATATTTTTGTAAATTGTCTCTTTTACCACTGTTGGAGGATTAAAAGTTTCACTGATAAGGAAATCCCCAAGGTATTATAAAGCTGAAATGATTCAGTGACATTCCCATGAGTTGTAGGTACAGCTGATGATGGACCTCAGTAGGGGGAGGAGCTCCATGGGGGAACAAGCAATAGCAGGAGGGAAATGCTTCAAATTTGCCTCATTTACTTCAGATTTTAAAATTCCTGCAGGTTTTTTTGTGAAGCCCAAGAAGGATTCCCTACTTGTGCTTCTGGGCTTCAGTTCTTCATTGCAATCAGAGTAATGGAAGCTGTGGCCGAAGGAGTTACAGAATCATCTCATCTGTGGTGTTTAAATATTTTAAATTACTGGGATTTAAATATTATAAATTACTGGAAGTTTTTGTCAGCTGTCTGGGCCTGGTTTGAACTGGAAAATATTTGTCAGGGGCATCGTTTCAGTGAAGGAATTTCAAACAAACACAGTTCTGGGGTTTTTCGTCACAGCGCATGAAACAGTCCAATCTGATGCCGAAATAGGGGATCTGAGACAAAAGAAGGGAATAATGGCTAATCCCAGATTTCTTTTCCTGAGGCCAGAAGTCAATCCATTCTAGCAGCTTGGGTAGAACTCTGTCATTTTTGGGAAGTGCCTGTAAGCCTCGGATTTTATTTCTGTCACACAAAGTCTTCTGAAGAAAAGAATTCCAGTCCCAAGGTTGGCTTCCTCTTTTAGTCGGTTTTTGGGAGAGCAATGGAAAAACAAGATTCCTTTGCTTTAGCAGGAATACCCAACACAGTGGAGTGCAAACAAGGCTGTTTAGGGAGAACTCTGGGGGTTTCAGTAGAGCTTTGGATCCTGTCTCTCCCAGGATCCTTCTGGACGAACTGCCCAGCCCACAGCAGGCTAAACACATCGTGGGGTGGGTGAGCAATTGTCTCACGTGTTGGACAAAGGGTGACAGGGAATAGGGGGACATCAGGCTGGCACTGGTCAGTAATGGGGTTCCAGGGCTCCATCTTAGGCCCAGAGCTCTTCAACACCTTCATACATGAGAGTTCACTGTCCCCCCCAGTGCCCGGAGCAGCCGTTGCCACTTCTGGCCCCAGGAACAGGCAGGAACCCCCCAGTAAAGCCCCTCTGCTCCCAGCTGGGTGTGGTGGGCTGAAATAACTCAACAAAACCAGAAGTGAAACTGAGAGGTTGCACAACCGAAAGATTTATTCTTTACTTCCATTTATCAGGAGATGTCCACCCACTTCTCAGAAAGTGGGGCTCCAGCACATGGAGCCGTTGCTCCAGAAAGCAGACTGTAAATAACGAACGTGACCCCATTCCTCCTCGTTTTCTGAGCTTCTCTGAGTGCAGGTCCTACAGCCTGGGATGTCCCTGGGGTCCCTGGGGGTCAGCTGTCCTGGCTGTGTCCCCTCCCAAGCCCTTGCCCAGCCCTGGCCCTCCTGATGGGGTTGGGTCATTGGGACACAGCGCTGGTGCGGTGCCAGCCCTGCTCAGCAGCACCAAAGCACAGGTGTGTTATTGGCACCTTTCCAGGCCCCACTGCAGAGCCCAGGGCTGTGGGGGCTGCCAGGGGAACAGGAACTCCAGCTCAGCCACACCCAACACACCGGGGCTGAGGGAAGGTCCCATCCTGGGGCCAAGGGACACCAGGAGGGACAGATGGACGGGACAGAGCCCGGGTAGGGCTGGGGCTGGATGTGGGTGTCCCCTGGGCACTCACCTGTCCCCAGGCTCAGCCTCACTGCCTGGGTAAGTTTAAGGCAGCAGAATCCCTTGAAGGTCTCAACAGTTATTGATTAACTTGAATTTAGGCTCTGCAGAGGGATCAGGATGGGCCCAGGATTGATGGACCAAGACCCAACATTGCCCATCCCCCTGTGCTGGCACTGCTGGGGCACCTCCAGTCCTCGGGGCAGCTTTTGGGTCCTCAGGTACAGGACACTGAGGGGCTGGAGCGTGTCCAAGGAAGGGAATGAAGCTGGGGAAGGGGCTGGAGCACCAGGAGTGGCTGAGGAAGCTGGGGACTCAGCCTGGAGAAAAGGAGGATTGGGGGGGATCTTCTCGCTCTCTGCAACTCCCTGACAGAAGGGTGGAGCATGGGGGGGTCAGGTGTGCACAGATGGAGCTGCTAAGCCACTCTCTGGGATATTTGAAAAGTCCTGGTGGTCAGGGGAAGTCCTGGGTGACTGGAAAAAGGGGAGCACAGGACCCATCTTTAAAAAGGGGAGAAAGGACGGCCATGGGAACTCCTGCCCTGTCAGCCTCAGCTCCGGGCCTGGGAAGGTCACAGGGCCTGGAAGGAACAAATCCTTCCAGAGGCTCTGCTGAGGAACAGGGAGGTGACTGGGGACACCCAGCATGCTTCACCAAGGGCAAGTCCTGCATGACCAACCCAGTGGCCTTCTTGGCTGGGGTGACTCCCATCAGGGGGCAGGGGAAGGGCCCCGGGTGTCATCGATCAGCACTTGTGTAAAACCTTTGCCGCGGTGCCCACAACAGCCTTCCCTCCAAACTGCAGTGATGGATTCCACGGGGAGAGGGGCTGTTGGGTGGCTCAGGAATTGGTTGGATGATCCCATCCAGAGGGCTCCGAGTCCCGACGGACATCAGTGGCCAGCGGTGCCCCTCAGGGGT